ACACACTCCGGGATAATCATTCAAGTGTGGTGTCAAGTCCCCGTGTGTGTGAAATTTGCAGCCAGAAGATGCAATCGAGTTATTCTGCATGAATGAAAGCGATCTATTAGCTGTTGTGGGAGAGTTAGCCGGGCACAGAAGGCTGAAGTATATGCCAGATGGACCCGCTCGCTGGCTGGCTGGCAGGAAGTAACAGGCTGTACGCTTCTTTTTGATTGGCTCTAATTATGATCTACCGCCGGGCCTCGCGGAGAACTGCTGACTGGTCGGTGTGTGTGTCGTACGCGTGTGTGCATGCGTATGCACTCTCGTTTGTGGTGAATCCAGAGTTTTCTGGGGAGAAAATAGGACAGGGGAAGTTGTTGAGCAGGTAAATAAGAGAATGTGTTGACGTAGAGAGCGGCCATATGGTAACACAATCTGAAGTATCTCTCCAAAGTTCAAACTTTTACAAGACAGCGGACAAAACGGAGCTGAAAGATTTAAATGTTCAAATATTTTTGGAGAGGAAACAGCAAATCTGATCCACAACAGAAGCTTATGAGGACATTGTCTTCATATGATTTCTGTAACATATCCTTTAGATGCAAAATTCTCAGTCACAGATCAACTGCCGGCACTCAATTTTATTTGTATAGCGTCAACTCATAACCAGTGTTATCTCGAGACACTTGTCTCTCTTTGTCTTTTAATATTACAGGTAAAAAGACCTTACTCATTGCTATATTATTGCTATATTACAAAGACCTATGCTTATACTGCATACTTGAACAGTGTGTACTGCATACTGCCGACTAACCCAACCATCCGTACAACATACCTCCAGTCCGAGCGACATTGGATCAACTAGCATCAAACTAGCATGACTGCTAAGCCGTAGAAAGGATTGATCAACAATATACATCGGTTCATTGCTAATACAACTACCTTGTAATTAAAATATTATTTGACAGCATATAAAATGCTAGTTCAGAACAATTACTTTCAATTGTTTGCCGCTAGTTGGCTTGCTGGCGAGCTCCGCCATTGGTTAGTTTGAGAGCCGCGATGCATTTTGGGGGTGATTAAGTATTGACCAGTGTTCTCCTCCTGCAAACACAGATCCTGTGGAAACTGCAAGCCACTCTCTCTCCCCGATTCCCCCACTCTGTCATATCAATGAAAGGCATGACTAATCCCCAAAACAAATCTTAGAGAAAACTAGTTTATGAAAGAATTATCTTTTGCAAATGAAGTAACTCCAACTGTCACAAACAGTATATAAATCTCCCCCCAGAAGAGGTCACAGGTGCACCTCAAAGATGCACTTGGTCTTTGTATGTGAAAAAACAACATTTTTGGTGTATTGAATCCTAGTGTACTAAACTTTCTTATCTTGGTTTGGTATAACATTTCAGAATTTTCCATTTTCCAAACCTGTTTTAAATTAGATTTATCAAAATGAAATCCTTCAGGCAGTGTGTAATTTTGAGAATACTTTCTGTGACTTTAACAAAAACTGTATCACCTCTTTGGATGGTACCGTCTTTTGTGCAGTTATCCTCGGGGGTAGATTCCTCCTCCTCGTTAACAACAAGTTACAAGTCTTACAGGCGCTCGATTGTCTGGAGGTAAACAATTCCAGAGACACAAATGAAGACAGAATGAGATAATATTTGTGTTGTCCCCGTCTTGCTGAGTTCAAGTGTTTACGTGATTTAATCTACTCATGAATGGAGAAATATTTGATCACTGGAGTTTCAAAGGTCATTCTGTGTGTTAATAATCGACATGAAAATTACACAAGGTGACTGAATTTGGGTTTTTTTGTCAAATAAGTCTGACTCTGGCTAGTGACTGGCAGGTAACTAGCCGAAACTGTATACACAATGGACAGTAATACATCTTTCTAAATAGGCACTAAAAACAGAAACATGGGCGATATGTAAAGTTCTGACTTTGCAGAGGTGACAGCTAACAGCTCACACCTGTCACTCAAAGTGACTATGCCCTTGTTTATAAATTACCTTCAGCTTCAAAATTCTCCCTCCAGTCAATATGAAAAGAGTAACTGACTCTAGAGTTTTAAGAACTTGGTCAAAATGATGATATTTCAGTTGTAAAGTCGGGCATTTTAATATAGGTTGACTCACTTTTGGACACTCAACTCTCAAGTGGCTGATTGATGAACTGCGGTTTGTGTTGACATTTACGTCAGTAGGGCAGCCGCGGCCCACTTTGAAATACAAAAGTACGCCCGGGCCCGTTATGAAATAAAAATGATGACTACAGCTATGACTGTAAGTTAGGGTATATTATTGGACATGACAACATGATATTATGACAAGAGAGACAAGAACATTTACCAAACATTATGTCCATGAAGAGTCATGACACACCTTATTAATCACTTAAAGGGTTGACTCATGGTAATTCATCATTATTGTGATATTTCTTTGATTTTTATACTTGGTGGACGGCTTTTCGCGGCCCACCTGCAGTACCCTCACGGCCCACCAGGGGGCCGCGGCCCACACTTTGGGAAGCACTGCAGTAGGGTAATTATTTCTAATGTAAGTGCAAAGCAGCTTTGAAGCTAATTACTGCCCCCGTCTGGACTGGAGTGGAACAAGAGGAGTAATGGCAGGCAGTAAACGTTTGGAATCACTATGTAAAGGAAACTCGGACAGGTTGAGAACTTCCTGAAAACACAAACATCTGTAACATGTTGCTCCACCTGCTGGTAAAACATTGTTGTAATTCAAGGTAAAAACTCATCAACAGCTACTATTATAGATCCTGAGGTAAGATTATGTTGTGCACCATTATCTTGTTAGCTAACACTTTGCTCAGGTGGCTGCTTTGTGGGTTTAACAGCTGGATAAAAAACTGCTTTTTGTCATCTGCCCTTATTTTCCTCTTCCTTACTTTCCTCGAGTTGTTTTTCACCAAACATCTTTTTGTTATTCTCATCCACTTTCTAATTTTGTCTTTTAGCCTCCATCCTCCTTTCCTTCCTCTACTTTTATCCCCCTCCTCTTCATCCTCCTCCTGCTACCCTTTTCTCTTCTTGCTGCTCTAAATGCAGGCCTCTCCTCTCATCCAGCCTCTAATCAGATCAATTCACTATTCCATTCACAGGGATATGATAAGGTGATTATGCATGGGCCCACATACACACACACACACGCACACACACACGCACACACACACTGCCCCCTTAGCGTTGATGGGAGTTGACGTCGCATTTCCCTTAAAAATTCTGTGGATGTCCTTCGTCAGAGAAAGCTGGCAACCTGGCGCTCCCCCGATTAATTTGTCTCTTCGCTTCTAATCAGTGTCAGGATGGAGGAAGGACGCGGAAAGGGAGGGACGAGGGAGAGGAGGAAGAAAGCCAGGAGAGAGGAAAGAAGGGGAAGGAGAAGAGGAAGGAGGGTGCCGCGAGACGTTATTATAGTCCATCAGGGGACCTCTTTGAAAAGAAACCCCAAAAGCTGCTCATGCAAAGAATTCAAAAAGGGATGACCTCCATTTGGAGCTAAGCAGGCACATAAAGTCTATTTACCCCTTTATCTCAGTTAAAATGCTTCAAGCTAACATTTTAGCATTGGTTATAGCTAAAGGTCCAATCTCTTTAAATGAATAGTATCATTTTAAACATTTATTCAGCAGATACCAAATATATCCCAACTTAATTAATCGTTGAGTAATGACTTTTTAAAAAAAAGAAAAGGAGTGAAGTCAGACTCCCTCAGGGTTTGTTGTTTTCAGCTCTGTGTTTATACTGACAAGATGGCGCGGCCTTCAGCTTGATGTCACTCAGCGGCTCAAACATGTTTCATACTTTTTCACATAAACACTTCCCTCTACAACCCTTAGCTCTGCCACCATGTGGGGAAAGAAACTACTAACACCAACAGCTGTTTATGTTCGAGCAAATGAATTACATATTAAGTTCTAGTGTAATACACATGTTATCCTATAGGGGCTGCTATGGCTCCTTACGCATTTTATCTGGATTAAACAGACTCTATTGGTTTTTTTTTTAATGAAGGAGAAGTGGATCTTTTTCTATGGACATGTTGTTTGTAACTCACCAGCAGTTATCGGCTTGCACCACTATCCTCTTTCTGTTACATCTCCATAATTGATTTTTAGATCTCTGGTTCTACGCCGTGTGCATATAATGAGAAGTCTCACAGGGACCTCTGACATGCCCCTCATACTAAACTCCACCCATCTGCATTTTGTTATTAACTGCAGTATGCTTTAAATGCAGTTTATAAATAAAGTAGTTCACATTTTCGCTTTAACCATTGTGCTGTCTTTCCAAATTAAAGCTTTGTTATATAATAAAAAGGAGTTCTGCACACTACAAACAAATGGCAAACCCAATATTCCAACTCTATAGTGAGAAGAGGAATAGTCTTATAGCAGAGGAAAAAAAAGAATAATAAAATCTCTTCACAAATCGTAGGATCTTGGGGTCTGGTTGCTAAGAGGGATATATATTTTATTATAAATATAACAATCGTGAAGTCAACATAATAACCACTGACAGTTCTCCAAACACCATAACCTTCAAATCAAACACCATAACCTGAAATGTTTGAACTTCAATTTGAACCATCGTGTTTGCAAATTAAGAAAATACTTATTATTTTTTTTAAATCTATTTGAATTAAATTGTAATTCAGCTTTTAGAGGTCCTGAACACAACATATTATTATTTGATACGTTTTACTTTCTCACAAACAGATTTCATGATCTCAGATTGAGACGTCGATTTTTCAAAACTTTTTTTCAATGTTCTCAAAGTTAAAGATGACACAACCCGTCAAGCTAACAACGGCCATGTTTAGTTTCTGTCCATTTATTTATTTATGAGTTTTGAGCGTTGCTTACCTTGTCTCTGTCGTTCAGATCCGGCTCCTCGTCTTTTCCCATCATACTCACCTGTGTCTCGTTATCCCTGATTGTCTGCGTATATAACACCTCGAGTGTCCTCCCTCTTGTTGCCAGTTCGTTTTGTGTTCCCTCGCGTCACCTCGTTCCAGCATTGATTTCTCGTAAGTTTTCTAGTGTGTGACCATTGCCAGCCTTTTTGACATTTGCCGGCTCCTCTTCAGTTTATTTGCTTCAGAGTGTTTTTTTTGATTGATTATCTGTTTAGCCACCTGCATGAACTGTTTAATAAACCCATTTTGTGAGCCTTTTATCTCTCTGGTTCCTGTAAAAGATAAAACTTGAACTTATCCATCTTTTTTTTTATTAACAACGACTGTAGGGCTGAGCGCCAGTTTCATTTTGTAGTATTTTAGATCAATTGAGCTGGGCTTTCTCTGCAGATTTGTATTAATATTTGGCTAACCTTCATGTCTCCCATCCTGATCACTTGTGGTCATTCAGCCTCTTGTCTCCACTGCTGCTTTCTGGGTTAACAGGCTGTTGCTCGGCCAGAGAGTAAGTAGAGACATTAAAATGTGTGTGTGGGCTGATCACTGGGCTGAATGCCACACAGGGACCACTTGCTTTCACTCGGGCACTCTTTGGCTCTGTGGACAAGGTTTCTACAAAGCACTTAATGATTGGGCAATCCTGCACCTGGTGGTCTATAGTTATTTAGCACTTAGACACCTGGCAAGAGCGCTTTATGCCGACTATTTAGAAAAGGGTTTTGGTGCTTGAGTTAGTATCTTTGCACTGGGGTGTACTTGTCTTGTATGTCCTCACACTCCATAACAAACTTATCTTCCAGCTTTGGTGGGGGGTTGGAGAATTGTCACAACAGCATTTTAGATAAAGCTCGGCATCGCAGTTGAAGACGTGTTCAGAATTCTTGCAAATATTGTTGTCCCAGCAGTTTTCTTTCAAGGACTTATCTCGCTACATTTCTATTCAGGGACTGCAAAAAACTGTCTATGGGCTGCCTAAAAGGACGCAAATATAATGCACACTAATCAAGGAAAACTGCATCAGCAGCATCACATCCATACTGTTACTCAACGCTTCCATTCACACGTTGGTTTCAGTCTCGAGCAGAACTCAAGGAGTCTTTTGTGATGGAGCTCTGATGGCTGTAACCTGAGGAGAGCAGGAGAGTATGACATGGACAATAACTTCCTTTGTCCGTTTGACTCTTCTGTTTTTCTTCACCATTGTTTATCTACCATCAATGGCCATCGTGGTTTTTGATAGACGCACCCGGAAAAAGACCACTGACCATATTTGTGATTGATGATTTAACAGAACTCACGTAATTTCCCGCTTCTTGTCTAACTGGTTACTGCATTGGAAAGATGAATTTGACAGTATTTAAGTTGGTTTTACCAGCCCTAAATGTGTGCACTGTGCATTTTTCATCCTGTTGAAGATCTGGTACAGGTGTCCCCTAAAAGCCACTGGAAACCCAAATCCCTGAATAGAATTTGAACGTTGTCATTTAGGGTCTTACTGTCATCATAGTTTAGCATCTAAAATCTATGATAAATGAACACCGGACCAACAAAGATATATTCTTTGCATGTTTCTTTTACTTTCCTGATATTGGGTTTCAATTGGATGCTGTTAGGCTCTGATATCTGTTCCAAATTTGTGTCTTAAATTTGTCAATCCAGTTATAGAAATAAAACATCCGCTATTCAGCCATTTACTAGCATTAGCGTCGTTGTTATTAGTCATTTCTTTTGAGTGTCCACTACGTTTGTATATTTGCGGCTGCAGGAGTACAGAGTGTCCCGTTGATGATCTGTTTTTGACGGTGAGTTTTGAGCGTCCCTGCATGAAATATTGTTCATTAATAATTTTGCAATAGTTTAAATTACAGAGCCATTATAAAGCATTGCACTCAGTCTTTGAGAACAAATATGTAGCCTTGCAGAGATAATAGTCAGATAATTCCCACAAATACCTGTTGACAGAACTTCTGTGGGTATTTTTGATTGATGATACTCTTAAGTGAAGGACACTGGCTGTTTAATAGCTCTGTTTGTTGACAGCAGCATAATGACCAGTGAGCGAGGGGGACGATGACGCACACGTGCAGCAAAGTCTTCATCAGTCATGCCAGCGTGGGTTTGATGGAGTGAGAGGGAATAAACACCTACTCTAGACAGATTGAGATGAATCGAGACAAAATAACCTAAAATAGTATTCACATTCATTTATCCAGGGCTATTGTTTACCCACACATCCCCCAAATCCCCTCAGCTTGATTGAGGAGAACATAGGAGCTCAAGCAGTCATCCAGCTTGAGCTCAGACATTCACAACTGTGCTCTTCTTTTTTGTCCTGAGCTCCAGCAGCCAGGAATAACTCCGGGAGAGGAGCTTGACAGCGTGAATCCAACTTAGTCTCAATCTGCTGTCATGAAGTCGCCTGTCGCCGTGAGATGAAGAGTGACAGCGAGATGTGAAGTCAATGGACTGCTTTACTGTCTGGCTCGAGCGATTAAAGTGACAGAAATGGAAATCACAGCATTTCTTCCCCTTTTTAAAGGCGTCTCAGAGTGGGGATCTGACCATGCAGAGAATGGGGGAATTAAGGGTGGTGAAGTACAAATCGGATATATTGATTTCCATCAGAATAGAGAGAAAGTCGCTCTCAGGGGATCAGTCGCTTTCTGCTTTAAGGACTTGGAGGATAAGCCACTGAGAGTGACTGATGACATCTCAAATGAACTGTGTTACTCCACAGACTTCTCACTATCATGTTTGTTTGGTTTTTACAGTGACTTCTCCAACCCACTAAGTTCTCAAATACATGACATTAACATGCTGCTGTACCTAAAATAAATGCTGATAACAATTTTTTAGAGGAAGGTGAAAAAATCGTTTTCTATGGATGTTTTTATGGTTTAATGACTGAAGATTTATTAACAAAGCTGTCAACGTTTACGTCAAACAGGAAGCATGCACTAATGGAGAGGTGCCCAAGCAGTTTGGGGTGCAGTACCTTTCTCAAGGGCACCTTTAGATTGCTCGCAAGTGAGCTGGCACCTCTCAAGCAACCAAGCCAAATTCGATGCTTTTGGGCTGACCGGGACTTGGACTGGTGACCCTTACATTCCCTGTGGCCTGAGTTACTGCCGCTTTAAATCACTGTCAAAGAAAAGATTGCTCAAACAGTCGACAACACAGATTAAGGAGCAGAGGTGAAGGGAAGGAAAAAAATAATACAACACAAGTCCGCAGGGTTAAGTAGCTTTATCACCATTTTAAAAGAAACTTGGATGTTTCCCTGTTCTCAACACTTCTGAATAACAGAAACCAGAGAGACGAGAATAACAATCTATAAACAGCTTAAGATGAGTTATTCAATAGCAAGAACATTACAGCTCAGTTTACAAGAATCTCTTTGCATTTCTGTCCAAACATTTTAGCAAAGTGTCGGGTTCTGTGCCAAAAAAACAGCAGTTTGTATTAATGGAGTTCTGCCAAAAAAACATGACAACAAATGGAGCAATACAAACTGGGAAAATGCATTTATGGTCCAAAATACATCTGTATGCTGTTTGCAGAAGAATGATTACTGATGATTATTGATACTGTTTGAAAGGATGTAATGCAGAGGCTCTACTCACTTATTCATATTTTGTTGCTATCCTATATGTTAAGCATGAGAAAACAGGTAAAAGAATCGACCCAGTTTGGACCGTCTCCTTTTTTAAGAGTTGTTCATTTTGTCCTTTTAAATGTTGAATCGACTGAATGACCTCTTGAAAAATCAGTCAAGATGTTTTACTCATCATGTAGCCTATTAGTCATAGCTAACCCGCACAGTCGTAGATATAATGTTGTATGTGTGTTCAGTGGATGTACACCTTAATGGTGAAGATAGGCACCTCATGAGGTGATTCCCTTGCAGGTGACATTTCGACAAAGCGACTTTCAGGGTCACTGGCCAAAGTGCGCCATTAGCATTCAGAATGTGAGCACTCGCTCTAACTGCAGGTCGTCCACACTGATGTGTGACTCTAAGAAGTGAATACAAACTCTCTTTATACGACTTTAAAGTGTGAAGTAGTACAATATTGAAATTATTAATGATGAATAATTAACCTTATTAATATTGCACACATTAAGCATTAACATGTTCTCCACTATCCTATAAAATGTGTTCAGTCAGTGGTCAGTGGCATTCACAAGATGAGAAAGAGAAAAAGAAAGATGTATTGACAGAGGGATGTCTGCAAGTCAGAGGAAATATCTTCTGATCATCTGTTATCAAACGATCCAAGGCAGAGGAAAGCAAAAAAAACCCACTGTGGTTCAGGTGATCTGCCTCTCTTTTTGGATCTCTTCCAGAGGCCAAATCCACAGTGACACCGGGCTAAGGCTGCAGACATTTCTCTCAATCCATGCTCTGTCAGAGTGACAGAAATCGACTCAGGTAGAGAGCTTTGGAGAGAAGGAAGTCGATAGTGTCTTCTTGATGAGGTGGCTCAAGAGGCTTATTTCTCACATGGACTCAAACACTTTTCAAAAAATACTTTTCTTTACCAACTTTGATCGGCGTAGTCTTTTTTGTTTGCATTTTTGGCAAATTTTATATTATTTATTGGAAATAAGAAGCAATGACATTTCAGAGAACTTTGTCTGTTTAATTTCTTTATTAATATAAATGTTGATGTAGCCTACAATAAGGCATATCAGTGCTTTCAGTTGATGTAAATATTTTTCTATCACTATGTCTGCTCAGGTACACGACAGCACCTCCAGGAGGAGTACCCTGGCATTGCATGATCAATGTATAGTTACTCTCACAAGTTTATATTTGATTAAATCTTTACTGAAAGTTAAACATGTCTAAGTTTCCCCCCTCCTCCCCGCCCCTTCCCGCCTTAATCACGACAGTCTTATCATGCATTTCATATTCAGAGCGAGGATTAAAGAGTTGTTGTTTTTTTTTTATTCAAATAAACTCCACCAACAGGGAAAGCTCCTATAATTCTGCATTCAATATTTCTTTAAACTTTTCTTTAAAGCGTTAGATCAGGGGTGGACAACTGGTGGCCACATGCGGCCCCCATCAACCCTCAACGTGGCCCTCAGGTCAATTTTTAGATATCAATTAATTGGATACATGAAGAAAACATGACAAAATCAGCCATGAAATCATGAAAACCAGAAATATGCCCCCTCGCTTTTGTATACTACAAGTGTGGCCCTTGCTGTGACCAAAGTTGGGCATCCCTGCGTTAGGGGGTCAAATTAACCCAATACCGCTGACATATTTGACTGTGTCTGATTTATAATCCATGTAGGAACCTTACAGTCTATGGTAGGAACCTTTCGTCAAACGCGTCTTTTCCACCGGCGGAATGTTTTGGTAGAACACCAAAATGACGTTCCTCTACGTCACTTTTCCTCCCCACGTGAAACGCACTGTGCATGTGAACAGCAGCTACCTGAAGCGGGTTTCTCTATGTTCACAGGCCTTTAGTGCACATATTCTGGTTTTATGCTCATCGACAGCAGGAGTATGGAGTCTGAAGACGAGGACTCGCTGCTCGGGGAGTCAGAGGAGGAGTACAGTGAATTATCTGACAGTGAGGTGAGTGAGCTGCTAACAGCGGCTAACATTAGCCAAGCAAAGCTAAAACACTCTGCAGTAAAGTAGCAGCATATTGGTTATTTATAATTATACAATATATATAAAATATGTGCCGAAATGACTGAAAATACCCCAAAAATGTGATTTTTACAGTTTTGTTAAATACTTGTGTTGTTTTTATTTTGGCAGTAAGTGCAAGTAGCTGAAAAATAAACACCAGGCTATTATACATGAACCATTATCTTATGTTCTGCAGCTTCAGGAGGCTTTTGCAAAGGGGTTGTTGAAGCCAGGGATGAATGTTCTGGTGGATGAACCCAAAAAGTCAGTCAACAACGTGGTGAGTGAATCTTCAATATCAGGCCTAAAATGGTCCAACATGTTTTTATCTGTCATGTATTTCTATGAGGAGTTAGTTAGTTATAGTGCATTGTGAATTAACTCTGAGCAATAACAAATATTACAGCTGTTTCTGTGTCAGTGTGTGAAAACATGTTAATGAGATTGTATCTTGTTTGTGATGCAGGAGGGCTTAAAACAGTGCCTTGCTGAACTCCGTAAAGACCTCCCCTGGGTGGAGAGGTTGGATCTGACCAACCCGCCCGCTGAAGACGTTCTGTCCAAAGCTGAGGGGAAAGCTCCAAATCCCACGAATGGAGACGTTAACGCGGAAAATGATTTCCAAAGGGAGATGTTCTTGTGAGTACCTCGAGGTGTTGAGGCGTATGAAAGTCTGAAAGAGCCGTTCTCTGAGTAGCTGTTCTGTATGGAAATTCAAATGCATTAACAGAAATGCTTTTTAATTTTCAGAATGTGAGTGTATTATTTGACTCAAAAATAAAATGATGATTCATTTATCTAATTTGAATTTTAGTTTTTAACTTCAAAAATGTACATTCTTTGACTTAATTAAATGAAGAAGGAAATTACATTTGCTTTATCATTTTCTAAAAAAAATGCCCCGCTAAATTTGTATCATAATCCAAATGAAAAATCTAATTTTAAAATGAAAATACAGTAACAGAAACACGTTTTAATTTTCAGAATATAGGAGCTTTATTTGACCTGTATTTAAAATGAATATTCAGTCATCCAGTTTGCATTATACTTTTACTCTCTGTGTATGCATATTGTATGACATAATTCAAATGAAAACAAAAAGGTCTTTGGCTTTTCCTTTTCAAACTTGCCGTGCTAAAAAGTGATCATAATTCAAACCAACTCGAAAACGAAATGGCAAAGTGGACGGCGCAGGAAAGTGAGGTCAGACTCCAGCTCCCAGGCAGGGGAACATAATATTTACAGTCTATGAGGCGAGTAGGCAGAACACGCAGTACGATGGGTGGCGGGGTGAATCTTCAGGGTTTTTGAAAATAATAAAGCAAATGTAAATTTCTTTTTCATTTTAATTCATGCGCATTAAGTCAAAGAATGTGCATTTTTGAAGTTGAAAACTACAATTTAAATTAGATAAATTAATCATCATTTTATTTTTGAGTCAAATAATACACTCATATTCTGAAAATTAAAAAGCGTTTCTGTTAATGCATTTGAATTTTGATCACTAATCGCTTCCATAGTACTGGAGATATTGATTGGATAATTAAATCTGTCTCAGTAGATAGAGTTGTTGTGGAGTTTAGATAATAAAATATACCGTATTTCAATAGTATCCTTACTAGCTCACAGCTTCTTTATCTGATTGTACAGCTTTCTCTTTGTTGTCAGGTGTCACTCTGTGAAATACTTTGTGCTCCGTCTAAATCCTTTTCTTTCTGTTTTTTTAAACCCTTAGCTACCGTCAGGCTCAGGCGACAGTCCTAGAGGCTCTGCCCCTCTTAAACAAGCACGGCATATTCACCAAGAGGCCTGACGACTACTTTGCAGAGATGGCCAAGTCGGACCAACAGATGCAGAAGGTGAGTTTTCTTCATACAATGTGCTCAACTCTCAGTGGATAAGACACCTGGAAACAACAAAATGAACGCTCTTAATATCATCTCCAAACGAATGAATGATTCTACATTCTGCAGGCGTTTAATCATGAAGAAATAATTCTATTTTATTTCTTCATTTATAAATCTTAACTTTTTTTCTGAGGAAATAGTTTGATGTCTGACATACTATAACACCTCCAACTGATTTTTTAAATATTATAATGGGTATAAAGGCTGCTGTTTCCTTCATGATGTCTAATCTGGGTTACTAGTTGATCCTCCTTTAGATACACTGACCGCTGTGTCAGTAACTCAGCCCAGTTGCTTTTTCTTTCCATCAAACTTGCATCTAAATCTTTCGTTCTGTCCCTCTGTCCAGATCAGGAAAAAGCTGATCTCCAAGCAGATGATAATGGAGAAGTCAGAGAAGGCCAAAAAACTGCGGGAGCAAAGAAAGTTTGGCAAAAAGGTTGGTATTTGTTTTTCCTTTCTCTACTTAGTGAAAACCAGCAAATGTAGAACAGAACGGAGTCAGTAGTTTCTATTTATGTACCTCAGAGGTCGGCCTTAACTCTCCTGATCATTGTTGTTACATTGTTGATAAAATATTCAACAACAGATGCAAGACCAGCATCTTATTAGATTCAGAACTTTGACTTTATTCTTCTTAAGAGGCTTATGGAGACCAATTTTTCAGTTTTGTCTTGCACTGAATGATGAAGGATTTTAAATGTGTTCCAGGTCCAAGTAGAAGTGATCCAGAAGAGGCAGAAAGAAAAGAAGGCGATGATGACTGCAGTGAAGAAATACCAGAAAGGTGGGTTTTTAAAAGTGACCTTTTTATTCTCTGATCGTTTGCTGCACATGAAAGGTGACAGATGTATTCCTGTTTTTGACAGAGAATCAGTTTAAAGAAAACCAATATAAAACATAACCGGTATTGTAGATGTACTTGTTCTTTGCCAACTGTTTCTCATAGTATGAATGTGTGAGATATTTTTTATGTTTGAGATTTAAGATTTGTGATCCTCCACATTCCTAGGTATGACAGACAAACTGGATTTCTTGGAAGGGGACCAGAAGGCGGGTAAAGACTCGGCACAGGGACCCAAGAAGGTGGCCAACAAGAAGGGGTGAGTTATTACAGCCTCAGTGTGCGCCCCGCAGTCATAAATAAAGACGTTTACAGAAAACTGACATTGCAACCTTCTTTTGACAGCCCCAATGCTAAGAGGAAATACAAGGACCAGAAGTTTGGATTTGGAGGCAAGAAGAGCGGAAAGAAGTGGAACACCAAGGAGAGCTTCAACGATGTGTCCGGTTTCCGTGCCAAGGTGGCTCACGCAAAGGGCGGCGGCAAGGGAGGGAATAAAGGCAAAGGAGGAAAACAGAACGTGAGTCACACACACACACACACGTTAAAAACAGTTCCATTTATTAAATGAAGAACACTTGTTCGGCGCTGTGTCCACCTAGTGTTTTTGTCAAGTGTTTGCATCAGCAAGCGGGCGCACAGAGAGAAGATCTGCGTCCAGCATCTTTTTCCTGAACTCTTTGGTGCGGCCACTCCGACTTGAAAATCTTTCACCTTTTCAGAAATGCTCTGTCGATGTCACCGGCGCTCTTTTAAAAATGATATTCCCCCTAATTTTGTCTCCTACAATCTTGTACGCTGTACTCGCATCCTCCTCGCTCCGTGTTGAGACAAAGTAGGAGGTCAAGCATCCTCCAGTTGATGCTTATCGTAAAGGGGAAAAAACTAGCTCGAATATAAAACATACAGTAAAAATTTGAGTCAAACTGCAGACGTTTTTAAGTGACTGTTTTCATAGAGACAACACTCTTCATCAAAATGCTCCAGAGCGCACAGCCAATGTTTTTCTGCCCGAAAAAAGACACTAGGTGAACATTGGGCCTTAAAGTAAATCTTTAAGCTAACAATGGGAATAAACTTTTTTTGTTTTTTTCTTTCAGAAACGCCCGGGCAAGTCTGTGCGCAAGAAAATGAAGTCTCGCTCCTAAAAAGTGGACGGAGGCTGGTCAGGAGGCTGGACTGGACCCCTGAGCTTTTATGCAGGATTTACATCAGGACACATTTAAGAGAAGGCAGACCTTTCCTTCTACAGTTTTTGTACTATATGCCTTTGTAAAATATGTCTTGATTTTCTTGGTGGACCTTGAAAGCCACAGAGAGAGAAAGAGAGAGACGTCCCACCAGCTCGCTGTGGAAGCTGTTTGAGGGACTGAGCTGGTGAAGAAGTGGTCTCTGTTTGCAGAAAGGCCGCCCCCCAAAAGTGGACTACATAGAAGTACCCAAACAATGAAGAGAGAATTTCAACGATAAGACAAAACTGCAGACATAATGTTCTCTTTCTATCCGTATTTGTTGAGGTGGTTTTTAAGCAGCTGTGATTCCACATCAACATATTTTCCGTCTCGTCTGAACTGTGTGCCATTCAGTTTTTTTTCCTGTTTTATTTTCCCCAACCTCGCTCCTTGACTCATCGATTCACCCCCATGCGACATGACATTTTACAATATTGAGCAGCTGCTACTTTTGCCCTTTTCCCCCGTTCATTAATATGATTAGAATGTGATGGGGAAAGTCTGCTTTGTATAGACCTGTGCAAATGTTTGCCCTGCAAGTCTTTTGTTTGAGGAGATGGAACTGCTAAAGGGCAGCTTGTGCTGATGACGTGCGTATGTTTGAGAAATAAAAATCTGAAAAAAAGAGGTTGTCACTTTTCAGGCGACGTTTTTTCTTTCTCAGTCTTTTTAGAAAACATAAGAGCAGATTCTTTGTGTCTGGTGATGTCCGAGTAGGCTCGATGGAAATGAAGTCTCCCGTCGTCACGGTTCGGTGGGACCTAAAAAAAAGCAGATGGAATAGTTAGTATTTGGGTTAGATGTAAGGAGTCAATTAAAGTCCCTTAGTCAAAGTGCAGGGTCTTTGCCGAGTGCCGCCCTGAAGTTCTGTTTGGCTTCAACATTAAAGCAAATGTTTCCCTCACCAGTGGAGCTGCCCACCATCCTATCTCCTGACTCTCAGTCTGTGGCATCGGGTACTTCTTAGTGGGTTCCATGCGGGCTCTGCGGATGGCATCAATGAATTCAGCTGTAAAAAAAGAAAAGTTCTCAATTGTCTCTCACTCTTTCATCAGGTTTCAGCGTGATGTAAAAGTGTCTTCATCTGTTGTTTATTTGCAATATAAGAGAGTTGTTTGCTCTATAGATTCATCATAATGTAGACTTACAGGTATCCACGAAGACTTCTGGTGGTTTTCTACCCAAAGGTTTCTCTGGCAACACATGCACTAAGAGGAGGAGAAAACAAAGCATGTACACACAGTTTAAAGAGTACGCTGCACACTCATAATGGCATGCTGTTGTGGCCGGTGTTGCATTTTGAAAAGCAAAGTAAGCACCCCTTGAAAAAATGTAGTCTGACCCCCTCTCCCAAGAGTAGATTAATAATAATGATTATTATTCATTAAAAAAAGACAATATAGCCTACTACAAAGTATAATTCTTTTATTTAACATGTAAAATAGGATGTACTAGTTCGATTAATCAAGACTGCTGTCTAATGGTTGCTCATATTACATGGCTGAGGCGGAGTGATACATAGAGTAAATAGTCCCAGCGATGATAGATTAAAGTACCGTGACGTGATGCCTCTTGTCCAATCAGAATACTTATTATTATTATTATTATTATTAGTGTTAATGAGTGATATAATTTGCTGGAGTCGTTCCTGTCTCTAAGGTTCAGAGATAAGAAGGTGGGGGGGGAGAACAGGGTCTGCCCTACCTGTCTTGTTCGGATTGAAGCCGAACTCCGTGTGGAGTTTCTCGCACCTTAGCTCCTTCCTGACCGTCTCAACAAAAATTGCGTCTTGATGGACCACATTGGGCTTATCTTTCTCCCTTTCTGCCATTACTTAAAAACAAAAACAAACAAACAAACAAACAAAATAACCCGTACTGAGATCGGGAGCTGGCGAGAGTCCCCGAATCAAGTGCGTTACCTAGCAACAGTAAACACCGCCTGTCGCTGCAGTAGCGCCTCTTGAACACTAGATGACGCAGCTCACTCAGGATTGGTCTCTGTAGTTTTATTATCAGAGTCCCTCATAACAACAATAAAGAGGAAACTAGTCCCGCTGCACAGTCATGACTCTGACTGTAGTTTATTTTTTATTTTTTTTTTAAATTTAAGGCCACTACAGACCTCATAAGAGTCACATGCCTACTTATGAGGCTTATTTGTACAGTATCAAGGAAATAAAGGAAATAATTTCCCTCTCTCTTTATTTTAATAGCCTAGGTAAAGGCTCAATACTTCGGCAATCAAAATATCTTCTCTTAAATTTACGCTTTTCTCGTATTAGAATTTAAACACACAGCCCTTTGTCATATTCTGGAGACATTTTATATATAACTGACCCTCAAATTATTATTTTAGTTGTTTTTATGAGGTATGATTTATTATAACTTCGAATATTCTTTAAGATGTTTTTATCTCACAAGATTTTTTTTTTAAATTAAAGATGCATTTTAGCGCTGGCAGTGGATAGAGCAGGACAACAGGATGCGGGAAAGAAGCCACAGGTTGGACTGTGGATGACCAATAGCCAATAATGGTGTTAGAATAAGTTATAAGACTGCAGAAGTACCCAATAGAATAAATTATGGAAAAAAGTTTCATTTTTTTGCAGTTAGCGAGCTAATCCAAAATGAATACTCACATGCATGAGACAAAATGTAACAAGACTTTGTCCCTCATATGCTTCTGTCTAAGTCAAAAACTAAGGACATTATCTGTATTATACTGTTTAAGTAAACACACAACACATACAGTTTCAGTTAGTTATTATTATTTTTGTAACGCTTCATTTTTATTTTAGCTTCAGTTAGCAAATTATCATTTTAAAATTGTCTTTTTCTTTTTTTCGATAACAATAATATCCTTGATCTGCACCACATTGAGAGTCTAATTAAGACACATGGCAAACTTTGCCTGTGACTCTACAGTCTGACAGAGCTTTGAAGTCATCCCTCTGACTTCCAGAAGACAACTGTTCATCCCACTGACTGTGTTGTCTTCATACCAGCACTGCTTTGTGTCATGTTGTAAATGTTTTCCTGCAGCAAACACAACGATGAAATACAGTGGGAGAGCGCTGAATACATCAGATTGTTAGGATAGCCGGTCTGAGTGCAAGTGTGTGAAGTTGTCTTTTTTTAAACATGCATTTGTTCTCTTGTGTTGACACATTACAGCTGAGGTGTTTTTCTCCTCCGTATATTTGAGCACAAACACACAAAAAGCTGACCGCGTTGCGCACTAGTCTGCACGAGTGTGTTTCTGGGTTAATAGCCGTGAGAATTTCCCCTCTTAGAAAAAAAAAAAAAGAAACTTTGGAAGAAAGTAACAAGAACTGCTCAGATGACCAGTGACCTTGTGACAGTGCAGAGTGGAGAGATAAAAATCTAAGTGGCGTTTCTTCACATTGTCTTGGAGCACACTTGACTTCCTCTGCTCTCTGCGGTGTCACGACGACACGCGTTAGTAGCAGCACATTCACATTTTGGTAAATAGTGCTTATGGTTGGATGGTCGCTGTGGGTGTGCTGCAGTGACCATCCTGCTCAACACTTGTCTGCTCTCGTTTCATTTCCCTTTCATTTGTTTTCTCCTCCTTCTCTTCCTGCAGCCTTTCTTCCCTCTCACACTGCCCCCCCCCCCCCCACCATCACAAGTAATCATCCTGTTTTTACGCTCCCTTTGTTTGTTGTGTGAACTCTGTGTGTCTGAGCGTGCGTGCTTCCTCTCACAGTAACAGACAGCTTAATAAAGGCCGAGGTGTTCGGCTCTCTCTTCCTGTCTCATAACCTGATTCAGGCGTTATTGGCCCTGCGTGAGAGATATAACTGAAACAGGTAATAACTCAGACACTGGAGAGGCTGCAGGGGGGAGATTTCAGTTATTTCAGTGTGTGTGTGTGTGGGTCACCGGCCCCCTGTGGTGTTTGTGTGTGTGTGTGAGGGAGAGTGAGCAATATGTATTACGGGAGGACGGGAGGGCTTGTGGTGTCAAGCTTTGTTCCTCGGCTCCTGTCACAGCGTCTCAGCGAGTTATCATCAAGGCAGCTTTTTGAGCTCCTGGGGCTTGCCGTAGTAAAAGGCCAGTTTGTGAGTTTGTGCAACTCCAGTGTCGAACACATGCACAGGGTCTCACAGGTTAGTATTTAAATAACTTTTTTAAGTCAAACTAGAAAACCCTGTGTCAATATGTAGACATCATATATTTTTGTCTACATCGTACTCATTTCTATCCTGCGATTTTGTGAGAGTATTTCCATGGGTAGGTGTAATTTTTCATTTCCATTTCTCTGAGGAATGAAAGTGAAAATGTATTAGGGCTGCACAATAAATCGCAATTCTTTATTTGTCTTTGCAACATGGACCTTCACAAACATTCCATCTAAAGTCGGACTTGATTGCAATAAAGAAGAAAAAAAAAAACATATTTTTATTCAAACTAGCAAAGCTTTCTTATATCAACCACTCAGTGAGTATCAAGGTCAAGCTCAAGCACGCTATCTGCTACCATCAGATGAAATGTTGCCATTCATTGGTGAAAAAGGGGAAAAAATAAACTGTGATTTTTGAATTTATTTTGGTTTCAGGAGGAACATGTTGCAAACACAGGTATTGTATAAAAACATGAAGAACAGTTAATACACCTATACTGCGAGGCACATTCATAGCGTAAAGAATTCGAGAAACACAAAGAGCCTTGATAAGTATTAAAGAAATTGAGATTCTATTTTTTTTTTTTGACTCATTTGTTGTCTCTAGCTTAAAAAAACTGGAAAGTTACACTTTCCTTTTTAATTGTTTTACTACAGCCCCATTTATGAGTATAGAAACAACCAACCCTAAACATGTGTACAATCAACCCACGATGGGGCAGGTTGTTAAAATGTTAATAAGTTGTAACCTAAGACCTTGACTTTCCTTTGAGAGTAAAAATGACTACTGTAGGATGTGTTGATCATGGGTATATTAAAGCTTTTTTATTTAGCTATTTTTGCCTTTATTGGATCTGACAGCTGAAGAGGGACAGGACATGTGGGGAGGAGAGAGTAGGGGACGACATGCAGCAAAGGGGCCGAAGGTCAGCCACTGTGATGAGAAATGCAGCCTGGGGTGCGATATCATCTCTCGGCGGTCTGGCGTCCTGTTACACTTAAAAAAACAATTTACATTCTAAAAAGAGGAGGCTTATCTCTTCATAGACACAGAATATGAGTCACGAGTGAGCAGGAGTCCCTTTTCTTAGAATCCTGACTCTCCTCACAGATCCCTCTCCGTCCTCTCAGCTCGCCCCGGCTCCATCCACCAGCCTCTGACCTTTCCCAACATGACGCTCTTTTAATTGCCCTCCGTCGCCGTCGCTCATTAAACACGATGTCATGTATTATTCAGCCATTTCCTCCTACATTTGCTTTAACAGAACACACACTAGAGGTGCACGCACTATGCCTTCACACTCCGTTAAATCCACTCCAACATGTGTTTGATAGCTAATGAAAGCAGCTGATATTTTTCTAAGAGGAGGAAATGTTTGCCAAGCTTTTTTAACCAGAATGAAATTCCTCTGTAGTTTTTTTTTTTTTTCCAAGCTGGTAACGGCTGACCTTTGCTTTGAGTGACTGAGATTCAAAGGAAGCTGTACCATTTTCAATCAAGCACCACTTAATAAAAATGTAAATTGATTTTCTGTTGCACAAATGCACCCTGGGATTGAATTTTAAACAGCCGCTTACATTGAAAATGTCACCAGTTTAACCAGTGATAAGAAAATGATGGGCGACTATAACGTATTTATACAACCTACAGTGTATATTTGATACAATTAGAGTTTATATAATACAGTTTGAGTGGGTCACATTCTTAGCATTGAAAACAGTGTGACATTTTTTTTTCATCATAGGGTCGGCGTAACTTCTTCTGGAGCTTTCCCTGCTGTTCTCTCAGCAGGACAATGATGACTTCCAAGCAAACGCACATTTCTCAGGAGGACTTGAGTGGGATATATTATTGTCTAAAATGTAAATGAAGTAATAAACGTCGTGACAGGGGAGAGCACCGCCATTAACCTCAAAGGCCTGGGTTCAAATCCAGCTGGAGCCCTTTCTTCCATGTCTTTTTCTATCTCTACCGCCCATACTGTGCACTGTAGACTTAACACACCTCCAAAATGACAATATTATTAGTTTCATGCTGGTAAAAAGGGACAGTTTATTCAAGACATTTTCATAAGTGACCTACATTCTTGTTAATGCTAATACTGGTTTTCTTTCATTGCCTTCCAAAACAACCCACATTAGCCTTTACAAAAAAATAAAAATAAAAATTATCAACTATAGTGCTGCACTGTGTATCCAAATTCTATCGCTATCATTATATGAGCATTCACAAACAGATAATCAAATCAAATTCATCCTGATAAATAAGAAAACATTTTTTTATGTAGAACCAGCAATACTTTCTCACTCAACATTTTAACTTCAGGACGCCCTGGGTGTATTGTTCAAGCTATCACACAATTATTTTTACCCTTTCTATCCCCACTAATGATATGTGAGTAATCGATTTGGCAACATATAAATCTTCTGAGCTTGATTGTTTAGGGCATGCAAACTCTTGCACGCTGTCAAAAAAACCAAAAACATTTATAGGCAGTTAAGTCCATTGCAAGTGAGAACTTGTGTGCACAAGTTTTTCTTTGGACATTTTTATGGAAAGAGTAAAGTATTTATTCACAACTGAAAGTACTTCTATCAGCCTGATGAAAACAGCCAGAATAGTTGATTTGTATTTAAGTCCCGCCTCTGATTAGACAAATAGCCAATCATAGATTTGGATTTTGGGTTGGCACCTGGGGTGGCTTATCAGATTTCAAAGGGGGGTCCATGCCACCTCTGGC